AGGTCATCAAGTCCAGCCCCCCGCCCAAAACAGGACCAGCCCCAACTAGCTGAGGAAGTGGGTTGCCCCCACAAAAGCTCACGATACCATCTACATGTTTGGTTAGTCTTTAAGGTGCTGCTGGACTATTTGTTGGTTTTTTAAGTTTTTCCAGACTAACTCAGCTCCCAATCTGAAGCTTTTAAATCATCCCAGCCCGGGCTTTGTCCAGCCGGGACTTAAAAACCTTTAGGGATGGAGATTCCAACCCTTCCCTACAAGGCCGGTCCGAGCCATTCGTGTGCCCTGGGAGCGGGGCACCGTCCCCGGGAGTGCGACACATGTGTGGCCCCGCCCTGGGCGCACAGAGTGTGCACGGTGCTGCCCCCACCCGGCCCAGCAGCCCCACATGGAGCCCCCTACAGTGGGGCGCCCTGGGCGGTAGCCCGGTCTGCCTGTAGCTTGGGCTGGCTCTGCTTCCCTAGGTCAGAGAACCCTTTGCGTCTCTGATTCTACAACGATGTACCATTATCTTTGGAAAGCCAGGATAAACGCTGCCTCGGCTCAGCAGAGGTAGGACCAAGAAGAGGGGCGAGAAGGCAAAAAAGGCACTGAGCTTGTAAAACTTCACTTTGGAGCAACAGCCGAGCTACCTGCAAGACAAGGCTGCCTTTGATCCAAGTCGGGCAGGGTGCTAGAAGGCTTGGCAAGGAAGCGTGGATGACTACAGCTTCTGAGAGAGCTGATCCAGAGCCAATTGAGATAAAAACTGAAACTATTCTGCGGCGGGTCCGCTCGCGTCCCAGAGGAGGCTGAAACGAGTTCCTTGGGCCGCAAGGAACATTCACAGGGCGGGAAAGGCCTCGTGTCCCAACGCTGGCACTTGATGGGTTGTGACGCACCCTCTCACCCATGGGAGTGAGTCATGCCGTGTTTACCGCGGTCGTGTCATTCATCACTCTACTACGGAATTGCAGCAGCTCACCCTGATTAATACGCTGGAGGTTTGTGAATGAAGCTTGTAACCAACTAATGAGACACAGTCACATGTGTGGCTAATCTTACAGGACTGAATCTTGTCCCAGCTGGCATCCTCCCTCCTCCCTCCCCGCTCCCCCCCCAGCTCTCAGAAAGCTATCTCAGCGGACGCTTTGGAACACAACATCAGCATGCAAGGAACAAACAATTGTTCCAACACCTAGGAGAGCCTCCTATAAAGAGGGGAAAAGTCGCTGGAGCTGTGCCCATTCAGACTGGCCAAGTCTTGTTTCTTCTGTTCTGCATGGGGGAATTGCTCCAGTTCGGGTTATCCAGCAAAGGATCAGCTGGTAAACTGGCCAGATGAAATGTCACCCATGTTCTCAAGGGTTCAACTTGGGGGGGGGGGGGCCCACAAGGGATGCATGGAGGTCTTGGCGTTTCACCCACAGCCACGCTCATTCCTTGTTGCCTCGGAAAGAATCGTGGGGGTGGTTCTGTGACACCCCCCCCCCCCCCCCCACGAAAACAACAGCTTGAAACGGTTAAACACACGCGGCAGGAGCTGTTCTCGCAGAGCAAAGGAAGTTCCCCGTAACAATAGGCTGGATCCCATCCTAAATCACCAAATCTAATCCCTCCCTTCCCCTTAACATTTCAGGTGATTTCAGCCTTTTATGCAAGAATGTTACTAACCCTGAGGGGGGGGGGTGGCTTCTATTTTTTTTCCTTTTAAGTACATAAGAACGGCCATCCTGGGTCAGAGCAACAGTCCCTCCAGCCCAGTATCCTGTCCCCCGACAGTGTCCAATGCCAGATGCCCCAGAGGGAGGGAACACAACAGGTAATCCTCACATGCTCCCTCCCCTGTCACCCATCTCTGGAGAAACAGAGGCTAGGGACACCCTTCCGACCCATCCTGGCTAATAACTATTGATGGACCTAACCTCCATGAATCAATCTAGCTCTCTTTTGAATGCTGTTAAAGTCCTAGCCTTCACCACATCCTCTGGCAAGGAGTTCCACAGATCGAGTGGGTACTGCATGAAGAAAAAATTCCTTTTGTGTGTTTTAAACTTGCTGCCTATTCATTTCAGGCTCAGGCTACTGTGAAAGAGTGCAAAGCTTTTCCAGAGAACGCATAGACCATCGAGATTCACAGTGTTAATGCCACAAAAATGGAGGAACCAAGACATTCCATGTAAGAAGCTCTAGCGGGCTGGCCCCTGCCTAGCTGGGGAAAACATCTCTCTCCCTCAGTACCATACTGTGGCAGCTGCCAACAGCTGGTGCTGTTCGGACGTAACCCGTGGTTGGATAGACCAGCCATTTTCAAACTTTTTTCCTCATGACCCAGTTGAAGAAAATTCTTGATGCCAGCAACTCGACATAATTTGACTAGAGTGTGGGCTCCGGGGTGGGGCTGAGGATGAGCTTTGGAGTTTGAAGGGGGATTTAGCGTTGGTGGGGGTCAGGGCAGGGGCAGGAGGGACTTATTGAGTATGTCTAGACTACATGCCTCTGTCGCCAGAGACATGTAAATGAGACATACTGACATAGTCAATGAAGCGGGGATTTAAATATCCCCCGCTTCATTAGAATAAAAATGGCCGCTGCATTGTGCTGGCTCAGCTGTTTGTCGGCACAACACAGCAGTCAAGACGGGGATCGGTCGGCAAGGAAAGCCTTCGCCGACCGGTCCTGTAAACCTCGTTGCACCCCTGCTTTATGGTGTATAAAAGAGGGTGGAACATTTTTTTCTTCTGTTCATTTCTCTTCTCTCCCCCCCCACATCCCACCCGAGAATGACCATTTGCTTAATTCATCCAAGTCCGATCGAAGCTGGAAGACTGGTGGCGAGCCAGTGCCGTGGGGCCAGCCCACTAAACTTGGGTGAAAACACAGCAATTGAGAGGAGAGGGGCTGCTTGTTCCGGCTGTTTACATCATAGTCAAGCAGAACTACAGAACAACCCTAGGAACTGTGGTGCGCGATAGACATTGTGGAGAAAAGCGGTCTGTGTTAAAAACCTCATCGTTTGGGGGGGCTAATGTAACACCGACAGGCGGAATTCAGCCTGAGACGCTTGGCGCTGAGTGCATGAGTACCGCATGGGCTAGAAGCCAGCTGGCTCTCAACAAAGGCTGTAGAGCAGATTTATTTTTCTGTAAGTGGTCTCAACGCCACTAGATGCGACAGTGGACCACCCCCAGCAAGTGGGGGTTACACTAACTCCATACGTCCCCTGAGACATGGGGGGAGAGGAGTCTTCCTGCAAAATAAAAAAACACTGGCATTGTCCTGTCTAACGGTAAAGCGCGATCCCAGGGGTAAAACAACCGTTCAGCATGAAGTGGCAAAAAGGGCACAGGGGGAGTCCGTACACAGGCCTTTGTTAGAGGCTGCTCTCCAATGACATGGGCCACACAAACTGACTTTCAGGCTCTACCCATAAGGCATTGCTTTTAATTTTTTTTAAAGCTGATGACCATTGTGCAGTTTGGGGAGAGCGGGACCAGTCATTAGCACGTCCGGGTGACCTGTGGCCTCATGGGGGGTGGAGGGGGGGAGGCAGGACGGCCCAGCTGGAGAAGGCAAGTCCAGCCCCACCTTTTCCACTGGAGACCCTGCCTCTTTTGCAACCTTCTTCCCCCCCGTGAAGCCAAGTCAGCCCCCCTCCCCAGTTTACTGCTCCCAGCCCTCTTGTGCCCCCGAACCCAGCGGGTGGCATGGCCTCACCCTTCCCAGATGGCCAGAGCCCTTGAGGCAGCCAGCTGATCCTGGCCAGCCGAAGGCAAGTCCAGCCCCACCTTTTCCACTGGAGACCCTGCCTCTTTTGCAACCTTCTTCCCCCCCGTGAAGCCAAGTCAGCCCCCCTCCCCAGTTTACTGCTCCCAGCCCTCTTGTGCCCCCGAACCCAGCGGGTGGCATGGCCTCACCCTTCCCAGATGGCCAGAGCCCTTGAGGCAGCCAGCTGATCCTGGCCAGCCGAAGAGCCAGGCTGCACCCCAAGCCTTCTTGGGTGGCTGTGGCCCCAGAATTCTGGGTGGCCAAGGAGTCGGGCTGTTGGGTTGTGTCTCAGCCTTCCTGGGTGGCCGGGGAGCCAGGCTGCCGCGCCGCGGCCCCAGCGCATCTGCAAAACCACAGGCGAGCCCAGGAGGTTTTGGGAAGGCAAAGCCTTCCCTTGCCTTGGTTACCTGCCGCCCACGTATGGCCCTGCCTGCTCTAGCCACACCGGTGCGGGCATAATGCGGAGTGACACCAATGCAAACCCTTCCTAAGGGCATGTAAAGTAGCGGTAATGTGTCGGTCTCAATCCTGGTGCAGCACGTCAGGGTCTTGTACTAGTGAAACGACGTTGCACTAGTTACACTGGTGCACGTCTTTGACAGCGCCAACGGGACCAAGGTGAACAAGGCAGTCCAATGGGGTCTGATGTAGGGTGGTGCGCTAGCACACGCTTGCTTTTAGCTGTTCCTGGAAACTGTCTTCCTTAGATGTGCCTGGAGCCGCGTTAATCATTTATCTGCACTTGTGCATGGCAGAAGGGGACCTAGGGACTTGGCTCTGGGCATGGATCGACCCTGGGACTGGAGTTCCTGGGCCCACCCAGTCGCCCCTCCCTCCTCCCTTTTGGATATGGCCAACTCCCCAGGCTGCCCGACCGTGCGTCTTCCTGGAGGCACGGAAAAAGGTACAGAGCGGCAGAAGCAGTCTATAAATAGGTTTATTAGATTCAGTGGCACCCAGCAGTGTGTCAACCTATTGCACTTCATGAGGGAAAGCACTGAACGAGGGCTGGTCCAAAATGACATCGGTGGCCTTCTTGGGAAGGAGCCCACGGAATATAGGTACTTGCCCTCCCTGGGAGGGAAATCGACAATGTAAAATATTAACAAAATAATTCCACTGCATGGGCCACTGTCTGGGAACCAAACGAATTCCACTGCATTGTCTGGTGGGGGTGTGGTCCAAAGGACTCCAGTCTCTGGTCTTTGCAAGCACCTGGGAGCAGGTTCTAATGTGTCTCCGAAAGATCCTCGAGAAGGAGTTTTCTGGTCCTCAGACTTGCTGTTTACTCGGGATGTTGCTGGTAGAAGGAAAACGCGTCGTTTCCATCACTTGATGGCGTTGTAGGTAAATGCTGTCTGAAAAAGAGAGGAGAACAGAAGTCATAGAACCGAGGGGAGGAGAGATGGGTGAAGAACGGGGGCGGGGGGGCGTGTTTGGGCACCACTGGATGCAGGTCAGATGTGGCTTTAAGAAATGATTTAGGTCCAAGGTGGGGAACCGTTTTTTTTTCTGACCCACAGAAAAATCAGTTGGGGGCCACACACAAGTGAGAAGCAAAAAGAAAAAAAAACCCTTCGCTGATGCAGACGCTCCCCGCCCGAGTCTAAGGGGGCCCAGGCTAGCAGATTTTTGTGTGCTCCAGCTTTGCTGTCGGATGGCAGGGGGTACGAACACCAGCACGGGCTCCCCAATGCTAGAGGGGGAGCCCTAAGCCTCGGGTCCAGACCCAGGTAAGCCAGGGGCTTCATCCAGCCCCCCCCCCCCCCCCCCCCCCCGCCCGGTTTAGGTCCATGCACATGCAGGGAACAAAACGTCTCGTGGAACGTTATCGTGGGGGCAACAGGTGGGGATTGCTGCGGGGGAGAGAAAAAATGCTTTTGGCAGCTGGAGGAGATAAAACTGGATATGCTCATCAAAGGCATGTGGCAAGTCCAAGTGGGCACAGTTGTTTCACAAAGAGAATAGTGCTTTCTGCAGAGACGTCTTGTCTCAACCCCTGACCATCGTATCAGGTTGGAGATCTCCAGGCCTTTTGTATCGATCTTTCTCAGCAGCACACCCCACCTAAATTTACTGGATGTATTTGGCCTTGGTGATCTCCGTATTATATTTCTTCATGCAGCGCACAGGCAACTGTGGAACTCCTTGCCAGAGGATGTGGTGAAGACTAGGACTTTAACAGCGTTCAAAAAAAAGCTAGATACATTCATGGAGGACAGGTCCATCAAGGGCTATGAGCCAGGATGGGTAGGGATGGTGGCCCTAGTCTCTGTTTCTCATGGGTTACAGGGGGGGAATCACTTGATGATTCTGTTAATTCCCCCTGGGGGCAGTTGGTATTGGCCACTGTCGGAAGACAGGACACTGGGCACCACTGGATGCAGGTAAGATGTGGCTTTAAGAACTTTGGTCTGACCCAGTCTGGCCGTTCTTATGCAATAAGCCTTCGCGCTATGGCAGGTGTTCTCTGCCTTGTTTCCTTTTGAGTCTCCCCCACGTTATACGAACGCCACAGCTCACAGCTGGGTTTCAGCAGATTAAAAGCCAAGGCCAGCATCAGGGGGTAACAAGCAAAGTGATTACCTGGGACCTCGCGCTCCAAGGGGGCCACCCAGAGCTAAATTACTCTGGCTTCCACGTCGGCCTGGGGAAAAACAGCTTGGGCGTTGCATACATCCCCGAACAGCAGGGCTTGGGACTTGGCTTTCAGCCCTGAGCTCCAGTGACTCTAAAGCTGGCCTCATTCACTGGTTTCTTTTGGTCGACCCTCCCTCCCCCAAAACCTGCTCGCAGCCCCCGGGGAGTCTGGAATCTCAGGTTGAGAACCGCTGCTCTATAGCACCGGACAGCTCCCGTGCCGGGGGCTGCAGCCTGAGGCCTGCTTTAGTTTGGCAGGGAAACTGGCAGCCCTCAGCTACCGAACCAACTGACCACACAATGAGAGAGGCAGCTTTAGGGCCCTCCAAAGGAGACTGAGTCAGGGAAAGGAAACAGTCCACAATGGCTCTTTCTCTACAAAACTCCAAGGCTACGTCTACATTGGCCCCTATTCCGTAATAGGGATGCAAATGTAGCACTTTGGAATAGGCAAATCCGCGGGGGATTTAAATATCCCCCGCGGCATTTGCATTTTCATGGCTGCCACTTTTTTCCGGCTTGTAGATAAGCCGGAGAAAAGCGCCAGTCTGGACGCGATCCTCCGGAAAATAAGCTCTTTTCCGGAGGATCTGCTAATGTAGCACTTTAGAATAGCAAAACCCGCGGGGGATTTAAATCCCCCCCGCGGTATTTGCATTAACATGGCTTTTTCATGGCTGCCGCTTATCTACAAGCCGGAGAAAAGCGCCAGTCTGGACGTGATCCTCCGGAAAATAAGCTCTTTTCCGGAGGATC